TATATAATACGCGTTATGAGACTTGAAGGATCCAACTCAAACCATCTGGCTAATTCGTAATGGTTCTTTTTCTAGTTATTTGCAGAGAAGAGCAGTTTAGTGCCCGTGATGATAGGTTTCGGACACCATGATGACAAATTCATGCTCATCCGAGTAAACGTAACCGCTTGGAAAATATTTCTCGATCAGTCTACTAGCATTATCGCATGTGCACGTGCAGGCTCAAGAGGCACAAAAGTTTTTTTTAATAAACTCCTATATCTCAAAATGCATTAGAGATTTGATTATAAGGGTGTTTGGTTCAATTTCTAGAAATTATAGGAAATGTTTTCCACCTAAAATATGATTTCCTTATATTTCTTAAAAAATTATAGGAAAAGTTTTGAGAAATAAAAAAGTACCAATTTTCTTGTTTTTTGTACTTTGCTAGCTTGGTTCAAAACAAGAAAATAGCTCATAACTTTATAGAAAATAATAAGATTTGGTAGGTTTTTAATTAAATATGGTATGTGTCAGATTTCTGGTGATTTCCTCTCATTTTGAGAGGAATTGCTTTTTGTAAAATTTGGTAGGTTTTGATATTTTATAGAAAATATTTCTGTAAATTTTTTGTTGAACCAAACACAATTTACAGTAATCTTTGGAAAACTTTTAATTACAAATTTGCCATTGTCAGATGTTTTGAGAAAAGTTTTTTCAAAAAGTGTGCAACCAAACAGCCCCAAATTATAACGTGCTGATATTTTAAGCCTAAAGAAAGTTTTCTTTTATCCTATAGGAAAAGATAAGGTTTTTAGCATCTATCAATATTGTTTGTATATGTTTTTTTTGTTGCAATAAAATGCACTTTACTAATGTGCAAAACTTTTAATTTCCAAATATATATATATATATATATATATATATATATATAGGGAAAAGTGAATCTAAGGTGAAAAAGAGAGAGGGGGGAGGTGGAAAAAAGTTCCATCTTTGCTGACTGTGCTCACCTTTGACAGGATATAATTTCCTATCACCATTGTTTATTACAACCTAATATGTCACTACCTGTGAGATCTATAAATACTCATGTATTCTCTGTTGGAAGCTTTGTTCATGAAAAGGCAATTTTGCCTTTGTGAATAGTCCCATATTAGAAAATGAGATGAATAGTATAGTGTATATAATGGTTCTCTCCTTATTGGGCTTTGAATAGTGTTTTGGGTTTTGTGGGCTTTGCGTTTCTACCACACGCGCGCACGTACGCCGCGCCACGCCCGCAGGCACACGCACACGCACACATTTTTGCTTCTCAAGCCTTTATTTTTGCACGTTTTACACATTTTGTAACGGCTGCATGCGGGTAACGGAAGCAATTACCGTGTGTAACGTTCCCTTGGATTCAGCGGGGGTTACATCTTTCATCACCTATAAAAGGAGGCTTGGAGCTCATTCAGACACACACCAACGAAGAGGAAAATCTCTACACTCTCTTCTCTTCTCTACTCTTATACCTCCAAGAAAAAATTCGGCTACATATTTTCTATTCTTTGGGCAACCGTTTTCGTCTGAGCATAAGCTCTGTGACTCACGCCCGAGTGCAGAGGCCGGCCGATTCCGGGGGTTTTTACCGCTAGGGGAGAGAGGACAAATTGCGCCAGGGCGATAGGCGGGGCCTTAATCTTCTAGGGTAGTGTTATCACGACTGCTCCCGATCAGGCCTGAATTTTCTAACTCTTGAATTTTTTTATATTTTATATCTCTGTTTTGATAGCAATCTAGAAGATTAATTATATTCTTGCTGTTAAGATAATTAGTTTTTAAAATAAAAATAAAAAAATTACTGTTCATCGGGATTACTGTTCACCCGAATTTCATATATTTTAATTACTTGTTGTATTAGTTAATTGTTTTAACTTGTTGCATCTAAATTAGTTAAAAAAAATTATTATTTCTTTGTTGCTTCTGTGCTCAAATTCAGTATCTGTCATAAACAAAAAATCTTTAAGTGAACCGGTTCAAGTTTTCTTGGATTAGTTGGTGTCTAAGGAAAGGTTTAAGGGTTGCGTAAAGCGTTCTGCAAGAAACGAGGTACTTAATCGATCATTGATCAACCTCTAGTACTATCCTTACCTGGCCAAACTACCCGAGTAAAATTTTAATCTTTTCACTTTTAGAGTTTTTGGTTAAGAGCAGGTTTAATTAAGTTTTTGGTCTAGTAATATTGACAAAATCCTTTTTTATATCAGATTACATCTACCTAGACTAGTAAACTTGAATTGGACTTATGGCAATTCCTGATCATTCAAAAAGTGTCAAACCTGAGAAGTTTA